GCGGCTTCTGCACAATCGTCGGCTGCAGATGGTCTCCTGTATCAGGCTGCTTCGCCATCTCGCCCTTCTCCATGTGCGCCTGCGCCGCCATCGCCGCACTGGTCGTGCGCTCTCTGGGCGCTGGCTCTGGATGTAGGCGGGGTGGCCGCCAGCACTGGATGGGAAGCCGCGAAGATGCTCGAGTCGCAAATGTCCTCTGGTGGTATGTCGAGCTGTATACCATTCCTCGTTACCTTAGTTGTTCCCGCCTACTGTTGTACACCTTAGTTATTGTAGTCGTTTCCTTAGTTCCCAGTGGTTGGGCCGTAAGGAATCGTAGTAAGACCTAGATGTGATAGTAGGCGTAGGCACAGTGGTTCGCTGGTGTCGGAGTCCTGTGCCTTTCCTTAGTATGCAACTCTTACTCACACTATTCTCTGGATGTCGAGATAGGTAACATTTGTGATAGCTTAAGCAGGCAAGAGCTGGATGTAGCTGAGCGGGAGAGGAGAGGTCGAACCGTGGTCGGATCACAATCGCATGTCTGTGCTGGTTGATGTGGTATGGTAGTTCCCTGTGTATGCTGTCGTAGTACTCGATGTGTACCCATTATCATGTACTGTCGTTCTGTGTGCTGTCCATTACGATGTCACGGTACTTCAGACTTCGAGCGTGCATCAACAATACTGTATGACAGGCAAACCCCGTATGTGAGTGACACTAGTAGAGAGCTGATTGCCTGGAGAAAGATGATAGGTTGGGAAGTGGGAGTTGGTGGGGGGGAGGGCGTAGGTAGTGGGAGCCCGTGTAATTGTAGGGTGACGGCTGCATAATTAGAAAGACCGCCGCCCCCCTCATTTTTTTGCCATAGGCTGGTAATAATCCCTTGGTCGTAGGTCCCGATAGTACGTAGCCATCCGATATAGGTATGCCATCTGGCCTCCGTGCTGTTCGGCCTGGCTTCTGAGACTCGTCATACGAACAAGGTCAAGACTAATCTGCTGTGCAATTTTTTCCTCTCGGCTCACTGGCGGTGATGATGGTGGCCAGGCACGAGGTCGCCCCATTGAGTTGAGGCGTGGTTCGGTGGCGCTGCTCGACATCGAGCTGCTGGCTCCGCTGGGCTGCGGGCCTGGCGAGGGCTGGCCCGCGGGGCTCTCTCGCTCGCGGCGGGGCGAGCTGCTGGGCATTGGCTGAGGTGTGCCTTGGCTCACCTCCTGTTGAGCTGCGCCTCCACCGCCCTCTCCAGGCCCGTCTTCGGGCCTCCTGAGCGGCTCTTCGTGGCCCCTAGGTGCGCCAGCGCGTGGCCCAGGGCCTGCTTGAATATGTCCCCCTTGAAGCCCGCGATCTTGTCGTACTGCTCCTGCTCCAGCTTCTGGTCGTACAGCACGGCCCTGAAGCTCGGCGCCGTGTTGATCGTGTAGATGAGCTTGGCCTTGCATTGTTTGATGTCCATCTCCACGTCCTCGCCCGTCTTGTTGTATGCCTCCTGGATCTTGCACTGCAAGAAGACCTCCGTGATGAAGATTGGTCCCCAGGGCTCGTCGAGCTGGCTCATGAACTCCTTCAGTAGCTGTCTCACGTGGAGGAGGGACGCGTCTAGTTGCTGCTCCTCCGTATCGAGAACCGCCACGATCTCCTCGACTAGACTCGCCGCCACCTGGCCGTGTGGTGGGCCAAGGCCGTGCCCTTTGCCCAGCTGCTTTACTTTCCGCCCGTACTCCCTGCCTGTCTCCATCGGCGCCTGCACCCATTCTGGTTCGAGCGGCGTCAGCCAGAACTCTCCCGTGACGTGCAGGAAGTTGCGTATCTCGTTCGAGTTCTGGAGAGTGAGCCTCTGGAGCGATCTCAGCTGGTCCCGCAGCTCCACTTGGCCGCCTCCTCCCCCACCGCGGCCGCCTCCTGGGGGTCCTCGACCTCCTCCTCCTCGGCGCTGGGTGGGAGGCGGCTGCTGCGGTGTCTGCTGCGACTGCTGCGTGTCTGACGAGCCGACTCCGCCGCCGAGGTGCGGGCGCTGTGCTGGTCGCTGCCCTTCGGCTGCGCCTCCTCCTCTCTTCGTGCTGGCCCTGATGCGCCAGTCGCCTTGGCCCACGTGCGACATGTGCTCCTTCTCCCCGTGCTGCTCTGATCGACTCTGGCCCTGCAATGTGCTCACGTATGTGTGCGTGGTAGCCCTCAAGAGTTTGAGCCTCGTGGTTACAGATCTGGCAGCTAAGGGAGCTGGGGTCGGAAATGGGGTGGGGCCACATCGACCTGTCTTGGTGGCAGATACCGTGGCCATGTACTGCCCTGACTGCGTGGTCGACACATACCTTACGGTTAATAAATGTGCTCTTGCACCAGGGACATTGGTTGTTGACGATTACGGACGCCACCACTGGTCGGATGTTGTGGGTCTCTCGGCGATGCCCAGCTAGTGCTGCGTATGTCGCAAAGCGCATGCCACACCTCTGCTCGGTGTCGTTTTCGCCCTTCGTCGTATGATCGCACCAGTATGGTTTTAGTGTATCCTCCTCCCTGCCCTCCTCCCCCTGTATCGTCGCATCTCGTGTCGTGAGCACATCCCAATTTCGCTCGTAACTGTACAATATTGATGGGTCTGTTTGTAACCAGTTTTTTTGTTCCGTACTCCCCTGTTCGAATATAGCGAGGTCGGATTCCCTGTCTGCGTACCATCCCATGCTCTCGTCCACTGTTGCTATCACATGCATGTCGGCTGCAAACTGCTGTGCCCACGGGGTGGAGGTAGGCCCCACAAATCCCTGCCCCTCAAGTCGACGTATGCCCTGAGCTGCGTCTAATCTGGATGTTCCGAACACCGCTGCAATGACTGCTCCGTGCTCCCAAGGGTGCCTTGACCAGTTCTGGTACCACCGTAGGCGTCGCACAAGCAAAGAGACGGATGTGCGCTCAAGTCTCCAATATCTGAACACCTGTCGCAAGTTGTTGCACCTCACTGTCCCATCTGTTCTAGTCCACGACATTGCTCCTCCCGCTAGCGTCCGTAGGTACTTGCCTAGTACGCTAGGAGGAGGAGGAGGAGGAGGAGGAGGAGGAGGGGCAGAGCGGAGGAGGAGGAGGAGGAGGAGGAGGAGGAGGAGGAGGAGGAGGAGGAAAAGGACTATTGTACACCCATGAATCATCAACGATGCCGACAAAACAACCTCCCTCCAAGCTCCCTTTTTCTTAGGCCCCTACAACGGGACATGTCCATTGATGGCACTCCCTCGTTGGAAGACAACCTTTTGAAGATCATGAAGCATGCCAACCCATTGTTCTCGGGATTCCAACGCCACGTATCAACCTGACTGCTGCGTCCTGACGACCCGGAATCGTGCCAGAACGCCATTGTTGGGACTCAACACTGCGAATCAACATAACTGTTGCGCCCGCGTAATCCTGAATCCTTCCAAACACTATTCCTGGTACGTTGATCATGGATATCCGTGAAACTCTTGCACATTTTGAAAACGAATGTGCGCGGCACTGAGGCGGGAATCACATTGTGATACTGAACCACCCTCAATCCGTGAAGCTCTTGCGCCAGCCCTCGATCCGTGAAGCTCTCGCAATTTTAAAGCGAATGTGCGCGGCGCTAAGGCGAGAACCAAATTTTGAAAACCACCCGCCCTCAATCCGTGAATATCTTGCGAACTTTGAAAACGAATGTGCGCGGCGCTAAAGGCGAGAACCACATTTTGAAAACCACCCTCCCTCAATCCGTGAAGCTCGTGCGAATTTTGAAAACGAATGTGCGCGACGCTAAGGCGAGAACCACATTTTGGAAACGACCCGCCCTCAATCCGTGAAGCTCTTGCACATTTTGACGACGAATGTGCGCGTCGCTGTTGCGAAAACCACATTCTGAAAACGACCCGCCCTCCATCTGTGAAGTTGTTGTCGTTAAAAAGAATCAGAGTCATGCGTGGTGAGGAAGTCTCAGGCGAAACGCCCGGTCCGCCCTAAAACCTGGCCTCGTGGTGCGACAGGGAGAAGTTATCTATAAGGACAACGAATGGAGGGTGAGGAGGAGGAGGAGGAGGAGGAGGAGGAGGAGGAGGAGGAGGAGGAGGAGGCAGAGGAGGAGGAAGAGAAGGAGGAGGAAGAGGAAGAGGATGAAAATGATGATGATGATGCTGATGCTGCTGCTGCTGCTGCTGCTGATGATGATGATGATGATGATGATGATGATGATGATGATGAGGAGGCTGACGGCCCGAATGCCTGGTCAAAGCCAAGCTACGCCACCAGGGGCGAAGGAGGAGGAGGAAGAGGAGGAGGAGGAGGAGGAAGAAGAGGAAGAGGAAGAGGAGGAGGAGCAGGAGGAGGAGGAGGCGGAGGAGGAGGAGGTGGAGGAGGAGGAGGAGAAGGAGGAGGAGAAGAGGAGGAGAAGGAGGAGGAGGAGGAGGAGAAGGAGGAGGAGGATGAGGAGAGCCTCCGCAGCCTCCGAAATTGGAGGGCGCCGACTACACACTCACAGCGACCCTGGCCAGGCCGAACCTGGGCTCAGGACGGTAGCCAGGATCGGTGCAGGTGCATGCCGAGACGTCTGCTGGCGCTTCGGGTTTTCCGATGCACGGGCCCCCAAAACTCCCGACCCCTTTGCCAGGGCTGGTCTTTCGTCCCGAGTCGCTTTCCGACCCAGATGTCTGGGTAGTCGGCGCCTTCCGACGAGAGCCCTCGAGGACCACACGAAGACGCCCGCAGCCCCGTGGAGACGGGCCGCTCGACGCCGCCGTCGTCGAATCAGACCTTCGATGTCTCAATTTTTTCTTCAAGGAGTCCCCGCACATCGCGACTCTTTTCCCAAGGCCCGTTTTTCTTCGTCCTGGATGGTTTGTTGACTGTCCTAGGGAGGAGGGAGGAGGGAGGAGGGAGGCCTGGCGAATGCTCCATCGTCTTGGGCCCCCCCCCCGGTATCCCCGGGCGGGCGCCCTCGGGAGCGCCCCATGGCCGCGCGCGCCTTGTCAATCTGCTCGTACAGGTGCCAGTCGTCCGCTGGGCGGATGTGGTGCCGCAGCCTGGCGCGCCTCGTCGTCGTCGACGTCGTCGTCGTCGTCGTCGTCGTCGTCGTCGTCGTCGTCGTTGTTGTTGTTGTCGTCGTAAACTTCGGCGTAGTAGTCGACATCGCCACCGTGGTCGTGATCGTCGTCGTCGACACCGTGACACCGTCGTCGTCGTCGTCGCCGACGTCATCGTCCTCGCCCTCCCCTTCGCGTTCCTCCTCCTCCTCCTCGTCCTCGTCCTCGTCCTCCTCCTCCTCCTCCTCCTCCTCCTCCTCCTCTTCGTCCGCCAGCGATTCCTCCTCTGGGGGCGCGAGAAAAGATGCCCCGGCAGAAACCTCTGCCCCCCCGCTCCTCGACCTCCAACCACGCCTACTCCTCGTCCTCCGCTTCGCCCCGGTGCCCAGATGACGTCCAGACAGACCGCCTTCTCCCCATCCTCCTCCATCTCCTCCTCCTCCTCCTCCTCCTCATCCTCCGCCTCCGCCTCCACCTCCGCCTCCGCCTCCGCCTCCGCCTTCGCCTCCGCCTCCTCCCCCTCCTCCTCCTCCTCCTCCTCCTCCTCCTCCTCCTTCTCCTCCTCCCAACCGCCACCACAGGAGTAGGAGAGGCTCTGGCTACGTCTCCGTACGCCTGTTCGCCACCCCAGACAGGCAGACGAGGGCCAGGGCACCCCTAGGCCTCGGCAAGAAGCCCGCCATTGGCGCCCAATTTCGCGACGTGGACGCTGGAAACTCTTTTTTTTACGTCGGCGGCGAGGCAGAGTTGGCTGCACCAGCGAAAGAGCTAGACGGGGACACCGAAAAGCGAATTGAGCCAGCATGCAAGAGGGGGAGGAGGCAGGGCGGGCGGTCGCGGGGGGGTGGGGGGGAAGACAAGGCCACTCAGAAGCGGAAGAGTTCTCACCCGATTGGGCTGGCGGGGACGCTGGAGACACACATGGCTGCGTTCACGTGTGGAGCTCGGGGGCTGACCAAATAACCTTTAGCAACGTGGCCTTTCGTGAAGACTTCCAAGGCACTGTGGAGTGCCCCTGGAAATCTCCAAGTGCGCACGGTACAGCATTCCGAGTGGGCCCGGGCCGAGATCGCAAGTCGACGTCCAACGAGCGTAACGAGCTCCTCGGTCGGCGTGTCTGGGCGTGGGAGGCGGCCGGGGGGTCTGAACTGGCTAGACCTCGGCGTCGCTCTGCCCCGCTGCGTAGACGCACCACTTCCGACGCGCGACGTCATGAGAGTTACTAACCCGCGCACCCAAGAAAATCGGTCAAGAAGATTGGATACAGGGACATCCGCTCAAAATCGGTCCCCAGCCCCCTCCCGCGGTCCATCTGGTGCAGGTTATCACCCCTGATGCATGTCTGACAGTCCCGGCGAAAGCGGCCCCCAGAGGCCGAACAAGGCATAAGAGCTTCCCGACCCCAGTACCTCAAACCCCTTCCCCCCCTTCTTGCTCGCCAGGACCAGTGCTCGGCCACCTCAGAACCCCTGCCGACTCCAAGAGGCTTGTCTGGGTGGGCGTGAACCGCTAAATCGACGTCCGTCGACGAGAAATCGGCGCTTTCTCGTCGATTGCCAGGCGCTGGCGCACGCGAGTGCGCTCTAGAGATGGCACTGCGAGGACACACGAGGCCCCCGTGAGTTGCCGCCCAGTGCGTGCGCGCTCTCTCAGTGCCCGAGGCATGCGGAGGCCGCACGGGGAATGCCGAGGGCGGAGCGCCAGCGTGCACCCGCCACGCGAGGGCCCGGCGCTCGAGGGACGTGCGGCCCCGTGCGCGCACAGCAAGCGCCTGTCGGAAGGGCGACCGCGAGGGCCGCGAGGCGTTCTGGCCCCTCTTCCCTCCTCCTCCCTCCTCCTCCCTCCTCCTCCCTCCTCCTCCCTCCCTCCCTCCCTCCCTCCCTCCCTCGGGCCCGAACCGAGGGTGGGCAGAGCCCCCTTTGGCGGAAGGCCCTGCAGTGGAAGCTGCCGAGGGCACTCCACGTGCGCACGGCGCCGCAGTCCGAGAGCGCCCCAGCGGGGCGATCCCTCGACGCCCAGAAACGGCCGAGTGTATCTGGCGAGGCGCACGTCGACTAGCGAAGCCGACTGGGGACTGCACCGGTACACTCGAATGCCCATGTCGAGTGAATCGGTACAGATTTCCTCGACCGACTTGTCTGGGTGGGCGTTCTCTCCATACCCGAAATCTGGTCCCTAGCGGCGCGTTCCCCCGAAGACGCCTACTCAGGCATCCTGAAGACGCAGAGCTGGGCTTGTTTTATCGCCACCGCAACGCTGTATTCAGCTTGCGCTCAGGCCGGTCGCGGCACGTGGCCTCCTCAAGCGAGGACATGTTTTGGGCGAGTGTCTGGCGCGGGGGTCGGCCCCCCGCTGGCCTGGGCCTGCACCAGCTGCTAGAAGAACAGGGGCTGAAAGCTTGACCGAAGAAGAGAACAACCACATGACCACAACTCTAGGCATTCGGAGGTCCGCGCAGATTTCTTGGGATCGGGGCGCGCCAGGGGCGGCGCTGGAGGCGTCGCCAGGGGCTCCAGCGCAGACGCAGGGCCCGAGGCGCTCACGATGGTGCCCTGGGCATCCTGCCAAGCCCACGCTCTTCCGGGTTCGCTGCTTCCCTTGGCTGGTGCTCCTAGTTTGCGCCGGAGTCAGCGGCTCCTCAAGCTTGCGCTTACAGTAGACCCATACGATAAGAACTCTGGCTCTAAGGAACCTTGAGGCCCAATCTTGTCCATCGTTGAGCATCCTGAAGTGCCCCAGAGCTTCGGTGGGCCCCTGGGCCCTCCGGGGGATAAGATCCTCCCGCGGGACACCTGCTGGCAAGCGATTTCTGGTGTGACGCGCGAAGTGTAGATGACTCGCTGTTCCCCCTCAGGCAAGTCCCCACCAACCCTTTAGGGCGTGAGTGGTTCAGGGAGTTTTCTCTTCGACCCCCTTCTTTCGCTTCGGGAAGGGGTTGCCATTTTTCTTGATTGAAAAATACTTCTTCCCCCAGGCGACCGGCAGCCAAACAGGAACAATGACACCCCCCACCGTCCTGGTAAGAACACGCTGAAAAGTACACTTCGGGGCAACGTCTTGGGTCATGATCGTGAGCCCCGCGAGCACTTTGTAGTGCTTTTTGACAGGGACGGCGGGGGGACTATCATATTGCCTGCTGTGCGCAGGGCCACCATCCGTGTCAACAAACAATACAACATGCACTTCGCGGCTAAATCTGGATCATGCGCGACCGCTCCGCGGTCACTTTGCATAGGTCTTTGGAAAAAGACAACGGGGGTGCTAGCATATTGCCTGCTGTGTGCAGGCCCACCAGACACCATGATGGCCACCCTGTCGCAATGTGCACTGGTTTTCGTTAAGGACGATGGGGGCCGACATGTTGTCCGATGTGTGCTGTCACCTGCGCGGGCGCACCTGGCACAGCCTGCGCGTGCCCCAAACGTGGCGCACCTGGCGCGGCTGGAGCATGCAGCACACATGGCGCACGTGGAACAAACACGTAGCGCATCTGGCGCGCCAGGCGTGCCGGGCACGCTTGAGCCCCAGGGGTGCCTGGCGCACCTGGCGCACGTGGCGCGCCTGGCACGCGTGGCGCACCTCGCCCCAGCATCGCGCACATGGGGTCTGTTTTGGTTCCCGATAGCAGTCCATCCCTCGACGACCGCTGAACACGCTGAGGCTCGGGTGCTACTGATGTGTTGGGAGGGCGGGTGGGAGTAAGCGAGACAGCTTGCAGGCGCGGAGGGTGACCCCTGGACCTGGATGGGGGGGGGGGGACGGCGGGTCGTTGGAGCGTCCAACACGGCCTCGGCGAGAAGCCATATGTTGGCCTTCGTACGGTTTCGGCAAATTTTGGCTTCCTTTGGGCGCTGATTTACTACGGCCCCTCCTTTGATCGATCTCCGCCAAGATGGCCTCCGAGGCTCCCCAAGGGTGCCCCAAGACGGCCCCAAGAGGTGCCCAGGAGGCCCCAAGAGGCCCCCAAGAGGCCCCCGAGAGCCCAAGAGGCCCCCAGGAGGCCCCAGAGGCCCCACAGAGGCGCCCAAGACGACCCAAGAGGCCCCCGGGACTGCTAAGAGACCCCCGAGACGCCTCAAGAGGATTCCAAGAAGCTCTCGAAAGACATCCGAAGAGACTCCGAGAGGCATCCAAGAGGCCTCTGGCCTTTCTTTCTTTCTCTCCTCCTCCTCCTCCTCCTCATCCGCCTCTTCATTCTCCTTCCTACTCCCTCCTCCTTCTCGTCCTCCTCCTCCTCCTCCTCCTGCTCCTGCTCCTCCTCCGATTCCTCCTCCATCCTCCCCCCATTGGGGTATGACGTCTCTTATTCAGCCCTTTGTTCCACTGCATGCTTCTACACATCCCTGATGAGGGCAACTCGTCTGGGCCTCATCCCTGGATGGGCTGGTGGGACTGCGCGAGACGTCGAGAACAAGCATACACTTTTGACGGTCCGCGCGGACCTCCGACAGCTAACGCTCCGCTTCTATATGTATATGTATATGTATATGTATAGAGCACTTCCTCTGTTCTTCGACCCCGGCGGAGGAGCCGTGTGGCCGAGCCTATGCCCTCCTCCGCCCGCCCACCCAGCTAGCAGGACAGACCCTCGCCCCCTCCACGCGAGCGGGCGGGGGTCCACGATGGACTCATCCCACTGCTCGCCAGTGAAACAGAAAGGTCGTCCCCTCTCCCCCCCCAGTGGAGAGTGGACCATCTGTCGTTTTTTACCTAACAGCGAAGACTGATAGGTTTCTAGTAGGGTCAAAAGATAGCATCATGACGCCCCAAGGGGGTCTGGGCGCGATCCGGGGAAAGGCCGAAGATTTTTTAGCCAACAGTTACACACTTCGTGGTCTTCGAGGTCCCAGAACTCCATTCCCGGGCCACATTCTGAATGCCCGGAGCCAACTGTAGGCCACTTCGTGGTCTTCGAGTTCCCAGAACTCCATTCCCGGGCCACATTTTGAGTGCCCGGAGCCAACTGTAGGCCATTTCGTGGTCTTCGAGTTCCCAGAGCT